ATCTAAATTCCTAAGGATGATTTCCACCTTAGTTTTGACTCATGTTTCAAACTAAAAGATAATAAGCATTTGGTACCGTCAGGAATGGTGATTTAATGCGTATTTAAACACACAAAAACATGGGCAAATATTATCTTTCATTTTCATGATATCATTCTCTGTTTTTTTAGGCAAAGTATTTCCAGGAATATCAAAATGCAAAGATAGATAGATTTTGATAAGGAACCTACTCCCGACTCGGGCTGTGTGCTAACAGTTCAGAGCCTGAAGCCTGCTTCAGATTCTGTGTCTCCCTCTCTCTCTGCCCCTCCCCTGCTTATGCACTGTCTCTCTGTCTCTCTCTCAAAAATAAATAAACATTAAAAAAAATTTTTTTAACGAAAATAAATTATTGAAAATTCAGTTAACTTACAGTTGAAGGAGATATTTATCAGGTGTGTCAATGGAATACATGGTTAAAAATAGTTGATGAATGGAGCACTTGGGTGGCTCAGTTGGTTAAGCATCCAACTTTATCTCAGGTCATGATCTCACAGTTGATGGGTTTGAGCCCTGCGTCAGGCCCTACGCTGACAGCTCAGAGCTTGGAGCCTGCTTCGGATTCTGTCTCTGTCTCTCTCTGCCCCTCCCCCCGCTCACGCTCTGTGTCTCTCTCTCTCTCAAAAATAAATAAACATTAACATTTTTGAAAAAAAGATAGTTGATGAGTAACTGTCACTCCATCATTTAGAGGTATTACATTTTATTTGTTTTTTTTTAGAGGTATTACATTTTAAACCACAATAATTCTTGTTTCCACCCCCTTCCATTCAAACCATTAAAATAGTTTAGTGCTCAGACGTTTACTTCTATTTCTCGTAATTCTAATCATTCTTTCATATTTTAAAAGCTAAATATTGTATCTAAGGATTAATTATGAATTTTAAAGTTATTCCTAAGGGGGACTAAGATAAAAATTGGTATACTTAGAAATGAAAAAAGTATATATTCAGAATTAATATCTTCTGCCTAGAAAAATCTAGATAAAGAAATATATGTGACATGTTCAGAAATTACCAGGGACAAAACATCAGGGAGGTTTCAACCACCACAACAACAAAGTCTCAGAATTTGTGACTATTTTTAGATTAGGAATATTGCTGAATCCAAATGAGAGGCTGATGCAACTCATGAGCTCAGGTAACCAAAACTGAAGGTTACAAACTTCTAATGATTTTGACAAAAATTGTCTGAGACTCTGAACAAAACCTTAGGACTAGGGTAAGCCTCAAATATTGACCCCTTTCTATGAACTAAAGCTCAGTTCCAAATTATTTCAATGCTTGATTAGATTAGTATGGTATAGAGACGACCTTCAATAATTTCTTTACACAGACAGATATAGATATAAATGTAAATGCAGGTATAGCTTTATAGGTATAGATATAATTATAGATATACTTTTATATAGATATGGATGAATATATAGATGATAAAGATAGATGATGTAGATACAGATCATCTGATACCCTTGGGAAATTCACCAGGCTTTAAGAAGTTAAGAAATGATTAAATCCAAAATATGTATCATGTAGTAGAAGTCACTTTAGGAAATAAAAAGAGAAATTTAAGATTTTAAGAGAGAGAGAGAGAAACGTATTAAAATAACCAACTAAAAATTCTAAAATTGAAAAGTGCAGTAAGTTAAATGTAGAATTGTTGAATGGATTAAGAAGAAATTAGGCACAGCTGGAGAGACAATTGGAGATTGTTCTGGAGAACATATTCAAACTAACAAATAAAGAGAATGCATCAGAGTCAAAACTGATGAACAAAAGGAAGAGAAAACTTTAAAATCACCAACAGAGAGGGGCGCCTGGGTGGCGCAGTCGGTTAAGCGTCCGACTTCAGCCAGGTCACGATCTCGCGGTCCGTGAGTTCGAGCCCCGCATCGGGCTCTGGGCTGATGGCTCAGAGCCTGGAGCCTGTTTCGGATTCTGTGTCTCCCTCTCTCTCTGCCCCTCCCCCATTCATGCTCTGTCTCTCTCTGTCCCAAAAATAAAAATAAACGTTGAAAAAAAAATTTTTGAAAAAAAAATAAAATCACCAACAGAGAAAGAAAATGCAAGTTACCTTCAAAAAAGCCGCAGTAAGATTGACAGCTGAATTCTAAACAGATAGAAAAAGGAAAGCAGGAAAATAATTAAATATCCTCAAATTTCTGAAGAAAGAACACTTTAAAGCTAGAATACTTGACTAGTGAGTATTTGTTTCAAAACTAAAGGAGAAATGTAGAATTTTCAGACAATCAAAAACATAAAGAATCTGTCACTACCTTTCCAGCACTAAAATATATAATAAAAGTTATATATAGTCAGAAGCAAAATAACCCCAGAACATACAAAAAAGATCTAAAAAGAAATGAAGAGTAAACAAAAGATATATATTGGGTAGATGTAAGCAAATTTGGGTCGTAAAAACAAGGAGGCAAATACCTATCAATATACATAAGCATAACTGAAATTATAATAATGAATATCCTAACATAATAATACATGAATTGGGATGCCTGTGTGCCTCAGTTGGTTAAGCATCCAACTCTTGATCTCGGCTCAGGTCATGATGGCTCGTGGGATCCAGCCCCACGTGGGGCTGTGCACTGACAGCTTGGAAACTGCTTGAGATTCTCTCTCTCCCTCTCTCTGCTCCTCCCTTTCTCATTCTTTCTCTCTCTCTGTCTCTCAAAATAAATAAATAAATTTTGAAAAAAGAGAAGCTGTCATTAAAAATAATAGTGCATGAATTGGGGTAAAGATAACTGACCCTAAGATTTCTGGCATTCTTGGGGCGCCTGGGTGGCTCAGTCGGTTGAGCATCCGACTTAGCTCAGGTCATGATCTCGTGGTCTGTGGGTTCGAGCCCCACGTCGGGCTCTGTGCTGACAGCTCAGAAACTGGAGCCTGCTTCGGATTCTGTGTCTCCCTCTCTCTCTGCCCCTCCCCCACTCATGCTCTGTCTCTCTGTCTCTCAAAAATAAACACTAAAAAAAATTAAAAAAAAGATTTCTGACATTCTTGCATTGGGCAGGAAATAGTAAAAGTGTTCATTTATATTAGCAAGTCAACAAAGCATGCTGTGAACTCTAAGGCAGCTGTGTCCAGTAGAACCTCCTGTGTTGTTGAAAATATTTTTATCTGCATTTTCCAATATATGGCTTCCATCAGCCATGTGTATCTATTGTGCTCTTGAGACGTGGCTAATATGATTGGAGAACTAAACTTTTAATTTAATTTAATTTTAATTGATGTTAATTGAACTTGATATATGTGGATAGTAGCTAGTCTGTTGGATGGTGTGGCTTTAGGGTATCCTCTAAATGAATTACAAAGTCATGGATATCATCCTGAAAGTCTGACAGAATGATTGTGAAGAAATATCTTGTATTACATCTAATAATCTTCATGTCTTGTCATACAGCAAACTTTGGGGTTAGTAAAACGGAGGTAGCATTTTTTGTTTCTTTTTCCTGATGATTCTTTTTACTTTTTGCCTTCTCTGTTTCCTTATATTGAAGAAACTCTATTTTAAGTAGACAATAGTTTTGGTTTTTAGTCCAGTCTGATAGTCTAAGTCTTTTCTACAGATTATTTAGTCTATTATAGTTAACTTGATTATTGATAATTTGAAATTTCTACTTACACATTTTCTACGTGTAATAATAAATTTTCATACTTTTCTCACTTTTGGGAGAGGTAATAAAATGGTTAAAGTTAGAATTTTATCCTTTAAGTTATTTTTTTATAATTTCAAAAATTGTTAGTAAGTTTTCAAGAGGTTTTAATGATCATTCTTAATTACTGTTTACTTCTACCTATATATTAAGAACCACAAACCACTTTATTAGTGTTACGCACAATGAGTATTTAGACAATTCACTTATATTTCAATCTTTTTTATTGCCTCCTGCAATTACAAGTTCCCCTCTGAGGTAATTGTCTTTCCAACTGGAGAAAATGCTTCAAGATTCATTTTAGTTAAGTTTTGCCTGATGTGGAGAACTCTATAAAAGAAAATATTTGGATATTTTACAATGGAAAAATAATCTTAAAGAAAACTGAAGTAGGGAAAAATGTTTTTACAATGAAGGCGATAATCGTAAGATAAGAACCTAAAGATAAAAATGACCAGAAAGTATTGTGTAATAAGACTCATCCTAGGAGAGCAGGATTACTGGACACATTGTAACTACAGGTGACAAAAGGGACAATGTGTATATGAAAAGCCATAAACTATATTAATACAGAACTTGTTTTTATTGAAATTACACACAGATGGAAAGACCCATAGTGTCACTAGTTACCTTCCTTCACCTCAAGAGTATTTGACTCTGAGTTTCTTCACACGTGTACAAACTGGTCTCCACTGAGATTTTTGTCCCAAATTAATCTTGCTTAGTCATTTTGCCTTTAAACGCTTGTCCTAATTTCTCCCTGTGACCCATCATATTTCTCAATTTATCGTATCTACTTTCCCCTTTCCAATGGATTTGAGAGGTATATATATAATGTAATGTAATGTATGAGAAATAATTTTAGGGAATGAAATACATTTATAGAAAGAAAATCATTGGTGACAAATAAGGTGCCTCTATCCCACTGAGGTTCATCTCAATCCCTGCCTTTAGGGCTAAGCATTCCCCAGCCAATGTACAGGCAAAAAGCACAACGAGTCTCAGCCAAGGAGAAGAGTAGGGGGTTTCCTGGTCGTGATTAGTTGGCATTAATGACATACAGTCATAGCATTTCTGACATTGGGATGGTTCGTTGGCTTGGTGCTACATCACGATGAATTCTCCCACAAATATGAGATGGAAGGAATCATCTGCAATTAGAGAAAATATCACTGATATACATATAGGAAAATGAGAGATTCCAAGTGTGGGAAAGGTGACTATAAAAAATACCACACCCATGGTTGACAGTATATAAATGCCCCAGTCTAGGAGGTGACATTTAAACTCAGAACCTTCTCACTGTAACTCAGCTGAACTCACATCTCCTGCCAACATGCCCTACAGCTGCTGTTCTGGAAACTTCTCCTCCCGCTCCCTTGGGGGCTACCTGCGCTACCCAAGCTTCTCCTGTGGCTCTTCCTACCCCAGCAACCTGGTCTACCGCACTGACCTCTGCTCTCCCAGCACCTGCCAGCTGGGCTCCTCCCTCTACAGAGGCTGTCAGGAGACCTGCTGTGAGCCCACCAGCTGCCGGACGTCCTGCGTGGTGTCCAGCCCCTGCCAGACGTCCTGCTCCCTCCAGAGGACCTCCACGTTCTGCAGTCCCTGCTGGACTGCTTACCCTGGGTCTGTGGACTGTGGATCCAGAAGCTGCCATTCCCTGGGCTGTGGATCCAGAAGCTGCTACTCTCTGGGCTGTGGATCCAGTGGCTTCAGACCCCTGGGTTATGGAGTCTGTGGTTTCCCTTCCCTGAGCTATGGATCCAGTTTCTGCCGCCCAACCTACTTCTCCTCCAGGAGCTGTCAGTCATCATGTTACAGACCAACCTGTGGATCTGGATTCTATACATCCACTTGTTAAGGGTGCAGACATTTTGAGGAGTGTGTCGAATCTCTAAACAGGGAACCTATCATCTTCATGATCTTCAGGAAAAAGTCTTCAGTCACCTTTTCTCCAGCCACAAAGCACTGACCAAAAAAACCTGTCTCTAACATATACTGAACTTAATGATTAATTTTATTGGATTAGTTGATAGAATTGGTGGAATTAAATAAATGGTGAGATCAATTAATGGAATTTATGTTAATAAACATGAATTATCGTTAATGAAATAGTGGGATTCTTGTTCATGTATTTATTTTTTATTTATTTTTAAAATAATTTTTAAATGTTTTATTTGTGAGAGAAAGAGGGCGAGAGAGAGAGAGAGAGAGAGAGAACGAGTGGGTAGAGACAGAAAGAGGCAGACATGTAGAATCTGAAACAGGGTCCACCTGAGCCATGTCAAAGCACAGAGCTCTCCCGACACGCAAGAGCTCGAACTCATGAACTGTGAGATCATGACCTGAGCAGAAGTCAGCTGCTTAACTAACTGAGCCACCCAGGCACCTGTCTTGTTCATGCATTTTATTCACAAGAGATGAAAACCCAAATGAACATAATGTAATAACCCATCTATCTGCCTTCCAACACATATGCTAATTTTATTGTTAGTTTTAACTGGGTAAGGTGTTTGAATTTTTTTGTTTTCTGGTTTTTTGGTTTGTTTTTTTTTGTTTGTTTTTGCTTTTTTGGGGGGTATTTAATAAGTCAATTTTTACCATGTCTATGGGAGCAAACTTTGTAAACCTAATAATAGATTGATGAATTTGAGCTTACTTGTTAGCTCTAGATTATTTATTTCTTTAAAACTTTTTTTAGCACCTGGTTGCTTCATTCAGTTACGCCCAACTGCTTCAAGTCGTGATCTCATTGCTCGCGGAGTTCAGTCTCCCTCGAAGTTGGGGCTCAGAAGACAGTTCGGAGCCTGGAGCCTGCTTCAGGTTCTGTTTACCTTCCTTCGGCCTCCTCCTCACCATTTCTCTCAAAATATAAAATAAAAGATAAATTTTTTTTTAATTTTTTTTCAACGTTTATTTATTTTTGGGACAGAGAGAGACAGAGCATGAATGGGGGAGGGACAGAGAGAGAGGGAGACACAGAATCGGAAGCAGGCTCCAGGCTCTGAGTCATCAGCTCAGAGCCTGACGCTGGGTCAGGAACGGGATCAAGATCATGACCTGGCTGAAGTCAGACGCTTAACCGACTGCACCACCCAGGCGCCCCAAAGATAAAAATTTTTAAAGACACTTCCTTTCTGTAATCCTTTTTTATGCATACCTAAACTTTATATGAATAATAATCTCAAGAGCAGTATAGAGCATATTTCCTCCAAAGGATGCAGGACCTTGGTGTTGGCTGACAAAAGGAAAAAAATACATCTGATACATCTAAATTCCTGGACGGTGGCAATTGACCTGGTCAGCTAATTAGGCACCTGGAAAGGAGAATATTAGAATGCTGATACAAAGGAATCTGGTGTAGAGGCATGTGGATAGACACACGCAGGTGGACACACAGTGTGTATTTCTTCTTAGTGCCCACTGGAATGCATCAACCATGGAAGAAACAATCAAGTAGACAAAATGACTCCGCCGGTTGACGTGAGCCTACCTCCATCAGCAGTCCCTACAATGCTGGCAAGATGAACAAGTGCACAAAATGACCCAGAGGCTATGAATGGGTACAGTAACATAAGCAGAATCTACTTACAAAGCTGATACAATTATGCCACCTGTGACTGTCCAATCTCAGTAACGGAGGCTAATGCTAAACTCTCATCATGACATTAGTGTTCAAGGAGACCAACTGGCAGCTTGGTTGCAAGTTGAACGTGGTCCTCTTCTGCCCTGGAAAGATCAGTGTTCATTCTCAAACATGTAGATATGCATTCAGAGTATGAGTTTGCTTTTTATGCTTACCACAGCAGCGCCATTATTCAGGAGTTAATGAATAGCTCCATCTACCAGCATGGGACTGCTCCCACTGTAGCGACCAATCAGGAAATCCACTTTACAGTAGGGACGATATATGTCGAGATCCACAGGTTTTAGGAAAAACCACAGCAGCCTGAAGCTACCTGCCCAATACTGCATTGGATTAGTGTACTGACTGCAAAACTGAGCATGGAGGCAATGCCCTCAAAAGACTGAGCTCCAAGTATCCACCTACTATTACTTTCAGTGACTCATTTAAAAACTTTGTGCTTCCTATTTCTACAGCTGGAATTTTCAAGGATGGAGACCCAGTTCTCAAAGGCAGACTTCTTAAGGAACACAACAGGCGTCTCACTGAACCGTAGCTATGGCTGCTGCCTGAGCTCTTTGGGCTCCTTATTGTCAGGAACCGAAAGGCAAATGAATAAATAAATAAATAAATAAATAAATAAATAAATAAATAAAATAAAAAAGAGTTGTCATCCATCTATCCCTGGGTGGATGACCCTGATCAGTAGAAAGTGCTAATGTTACTGTTACACAGTGAGGGAAGGGGGAATACGTGTGCAGCTCAGTGAATCTACTTGGATGGCTCTTAGAACCTCCCGTCCAACTGTGGACATGATTTGTCAAATGCAGTGATTCTCACAAGAAAAAAGTACACTTATCAGTATTCATACTTCTCAAGAATAAGTCTTGGGTAACACCATCCGAGAAATCCACCATGACCACCAGAGGTGGTAACGGAGGGCGAGGCAAATGTTTCATGGATGGTGAACGAGGGCGATGGTGAGCACCAGCTAGAGCCACAAGATCAAATGCAGTGACAGGGACTGTGTTTCATGCCACGGCCTTGCCCTTTTATTATTCCCCTCAGGAATAGAGGCCTACCAGAGCCATGGAGACTCTCTCTCCTGACACGTTGACCCTGAAGGTGCCACCAGCGGACTGTGACGGGTACAGATCGGCACTGGAGCTCACATCACATTGCTGCACAAGAGGAATAGCTCTCTGGCTTTGACAAGGGAAGCCAGCTGACAGGCTTTCTCTGTTGGCTTCTTTGGGCTCTGCCTCCCCTTTTAGCTAAGGTCAAGTTTTTCTCATGGCAGTCAGTGACTGAAAGAGGTGGTAGAATGGCTTTGTTCATTCACAGGTGCTACTCTTTTATAAACGTTTTGTTCTTCTATCCCTGTCTCAGTGCCTGCTTCCTGAAGAATACAACTACCAAGTTGTTTCTCTATTTTTTTTGAAATTTGTTGTTTCCACCTAAGTTGATTTTCCTTCAGCCCCCACAATCTCTCTTAGTATTTATTACAGTGCAAATTTATCTGACATAGTCAACCCATTGGAAATTAATGCTCATTTATTTTACTATTCAAAAGAAAAAGTTGTTCTAGGAGGTGAACCCCAGGTTCTTTTAAAATTTGGATGATGCAAATGAAAACACAGTAAAACCTTGGTTTGTGAGTATAATTCATTCCAGAAACATGCTTGTATTCCAAAGCACTTGTGTATCGAAGCAAATTTTCTCATAAGAAACAGTGGTAAGTCATGTGATTCGTTCCACAGCCCAAAAATATTCATATACAAATGATTATAATACTGTAATAGAATACAAAATAATAAAGAAAATACAAATTATAAAGAAAAATAAACAAATTAACCTGCACTTAACTTTGAAAACCTTCATGGCTGGTGCAAGGGAGATGAGAGAAAGGAGGGTTGCTGTGTAGGATGACTTTCGCTATCACTAATGGAATCACTGCTATCTATTGGCTCAATGGAATCTTTTTCTTTTTGTGCAAATTTAACAAGGAACCTACCCAATGACACTTGCTTTTGCCTCCTTTTGAAGATTTCACAGAAATGTGACATTGCATTGATGATCACCCACAATCTTGCAGTGAGAGAGAGAAAAAGAGAGGAGAGAGAACCATTGGCTCAGTTGTGATCATGTGACATCCAGCATCACATACTACTTATATTGCAAGACATCGCTTATTTATCAAGTTACAATTTAGTACAAATGTTTGCTCATCTTGTGGAACGTTCACAGAACAAGTTACTCACAACCCAAGGTTTTACTGAATGTGAAAATACATTAGATATTATTTGTTTTAAATGGCATTTAGATGAAAAGATCTCCATAGGCTAAAAGTAGGTAGAAGAGATACCTAAAATCCCTGTCTTTTCCTTTTTCCCAGATTCCCACATTGTCACCATCACCCCCGCTCCCTCTTCTAATGGCCTGAGTCAATCTCTTCTTGTGACACCGTCTTGAGTCAGTCTTTTTGAGTCTCTTTGCCTTTAAATGTTTGCCTGGCTCCTTCCTATTTCTAGCCACTTCTCATTATGTGTTATTTTTCTTCCCTCCATTGGATGTAAGAAGTTCTGTATAATAATATGTGATAGATGGAGTATGTGATAGATGGAGAATAAATTTGGAGAATGTAAATCAGTGGTGACAAGTAGAATCAATCATTAGAAGCATCCTTATAAAAAATAAATCTATGTCACTTATCACTTGGCACAGTAGAAAAGTGACAGCAAGAATCCCGGAGCGAAGCAAGAATAGATATACATGCAGTCATAGCCAGGGAGAGAAGGAGCTTTCCTGGCTGTAACAGGTTGAGGATCGCTGACAAATAGTTCTGGAATTTCTAAGATAGGAATGATCATTGGCTTTGTGTTATAATAACAAATTATAGCACCCACAAGTACAATAGGTACGAGTCTAGTCAAGTGCAATGACAGAAGATTGATGATTTACACAAATGCAGAAGAGGGTATACAGATGGTATAAGAAGATTGTACCTATACTCTGACTCTGCCATGCCAATTGATGAGTATAAAATACCCCGTGCACAAGATCACCTTAAGCCTCAGAATTTTCTCAACTCTCAACATGAGTCACAACTGCTGCTCTGGAAACTTCTCCTCCCCCTCCCTTGGGGCCTACCTGAGCTACCCAGGTTCCTCCTGTGGCTCTTCCGACTCCAAGGATCTGGTTTACAGCACTGACCTCTGCTCTCCCAGAATATAGGC